CAGCGCGTCCTCGGTTGGTGCACCCCCTCCACCCCGTCCTTACGCACTAGCCCAGAAAATTGGAGCCCTAAGGGGGTCTAGCAATCCTCTTGCCAAGTTTTGTGCGCTATTAGATTATATGTTTAAGCTTGGAAATAAAAAGGAAAGAAAAAAAGAATTTGTCCCTTTCGGGGTATTTATTTTCTTCTCTGGTGAGAAGTAACGGAGCCCATCGCTCCCAAATTTCTAGGGACATGCCTTTCAGCTCTTCAGAGGGTTGGCAGTTTCTTGGTTTTTAAAAAATTGTTATTAGGAAATCCCCGCACTAGTGAGATAATTGAAATTTGAGTTTGTTTGCAGCTTCAGTTTTATTTGATCCAATTAAAAATGCATAAGCAGGCACTTTGTATTTGTGTACATAGAGTATTCCTAGTTTCAGTTATGACTAATATGACTGGTTTCACTAGTGTGGTATCTAATAAGGCAGTATAATTCAATTTTGAGCTTGTAGGCCTGTGTTCTCCAAATTAGGGTTTATGGACCATTAGTAATATGGCCAAGATTTCTAGTGAATTTTTGGCATCTCAGAGCTTCTTTTCTTTGGGGCCATGTGGGTCTTATTTCTCACCCCTTAAAAACTTCATTTTTTCCTGAAGATCTGTGAACAGAGAAAAAAACCCATTTTCAGTATTTGCAGTTTTTAGAGTGTCTGGAATATTTTGCCTAAGATTTTGTTATTTCCCATAGAAGAATACCAGCCTTTTAGGCCCACAATTTTGACATACTTCATGAGGACTTGCACGTGGCCCTGTGAAAAAGTTGGGATAAAGACCACTTTGCTCACTTACTTAGGGTAATTGAGCATTCTGACTCACTTGGGGGTCCCAATGATGATACCTCAAGGCTCAGAAGTCTTGACTGGAAGCCAAATTAGAAGATCAGGTTGGCAAATGGTGGGGGTGGACACTGAGAGTTGAGATTTTGTGAATTTTATGGCTCTCAGGCAACAGAAAAGTTTGAGACCTGGGTATAATAAAATGATTAGGCATGAACTGTCAAGTAACATGGATTATGCCAAACACAGCAGGTGTTTTTGTGTAAGCAGTACATCTACTGAAGGCCTGTGAAAATGGAGTTCTTTCTGTCCCAGATTATTAATTCTGGAGTTCTTTCTGTCCCAGGACAGACTTTATTCTTTTTGTATGTAACAGCGTTCTTGGTTAATGCACTGTTAAAAGCTAACCCTATACATTTTTTTCCTCCCGTTTTTGTTAGCTTTGGAATCTAACTGAAATAACCAGATTTCGATGTTGTTCTTGATGTGATCTGTCCACGAGCACAGGAGATCTCTCAGGAAATTATTGTTGTCTTCAGTGGTGTTAAAGTCTCCGTAGAATCACAGTTTTTATTCTGTGGTTATTTCTGTGATGTACACATTTAGCTTTTTTGCTCCAGCATCACAGGCTCTTTCAATAAGGTCATTTTCATCCCACATTTTTAAAATTTTCTGTATTTTTTTTTTTAAACCAGGAATTGAACTCAGGGCTTCCCACTTGCCAGGCAAGTGCTGTGCCTCTAAGCTACATTGCCAGCCCTATTTTCTTTATTTATTGGTTCTCTGACTACTGTATATTATTTCAGGCAAAACTATATAAGAAGTTGAAGGACCAGTTAGAAGTGAAGTGAGAGAAGTGAGAGACCTAACCCTGCTGTTTTTCTTTGGCAATTATGTTGTTGTTGTTGTTGGGGTTTTTTTGTTTGTTTGTTTGTTTGTGGTACTGGGGATTGAACTCAGGACCTTGCACTTGCAGGGCACCACTGAGCTTTCCCTGCCCCCGCCTTTTTGGTATTTGATTACTTTTCTTAAAACAGTGTCAAATACCAAAGAAAATCTGAAGCAGAAATATATGTCTTTAGTAACCATATTAATATTGCGAAAAGCTTATTAGAAATAGTAAGCCCTTGAGCTTCTATGTCTTGGAGTTCTCTTTGGTTTATAGATGTTTTAAAGAAAGTTTTGTTTTTTTTGGGGGGGGAAGATAGCTAAGTCCCAAGCAGAGTTTGTAGTTATATCTTCCTGTGTTAAACCACAAGGTTCCATTAAACTCATATTTCATTCTAACTGTGAATACTTATGTTTCATGGAGAGACTTTGTATTGCAGTGACCAGATGTGTCACACATGAACCACACATGTTCTGAACACCTTTGAACAGATTTTAGAATTCAGAGACTCTACCTGTAAAAAATGTACTTTGATAGTGGGCGATGACAGTATCCAAATCAACTCCAGAAGTTATCACCCTCTTCTTCCCCCAGCTGCCTTAGTATAGCAAGACTTGAAGTAGTCTTGTTTTTAAATAAGTGTTTAGTGGATCTCTTAGACTTATACTAAAGCTGTAGCTTAATTGAAGTGAAGAACTGCAGTGAATTCCATGCATTCTCCTGTACCAGGTTATTATATTAAAAGCTCTGAAATATGCAAAATAATAGCTAGGGCTTAGGTATCTGTTCCCTAGAGAACATTTTTGTTTGCAGAGGAATGTGACATACTTGTGAGAGTAGCAAAAGAGACTAGCATTGATTGAATACCTGGTGTGTGTCTAGCACTCAGCCAGGTACTGGACTACAGAGATGAAAAAGTACCTTTGTTGATAGCCATTTCAGGAAGCTAGACTGCAGCTCAGAGAAAGGAAGTAACTTATTCAAGGCCATAAAGATAGTAAATGATAGAGCCAGAGTTTAAACCCAACTCATCTGAATCCAAAGCACATATTCTTTTCACCAGCTACTCTTTCCAAAGTTTCCTTTAAAAGCTCAAATATGCTGTTCTGTTTTAGTATTGTGGCCTTAGGTTAACACATCTCTGTCCTAAGTTCTTTTATACACACATCCATATTTACTTTTCAAGAACTTGTCAACTGAAGAGGGGTAGGGAAGGCGTCCTTTCCTCCCTTTTCTCTAGAGTACCCTTAGGGTTCAGGCAAAGCCTGGTGATTAATAATCATGTAGTACAGAGGGAGAATGCAGTCACTTTTTCCTTGCCAAAATGTTCTTTCCTTCATGTTGTGGAGGCGTTGATACCCTCATGAGAAATTCTTTTACTTCCATAAAAGTCCTGAAGGTAGTAAAATGGAGTTATTTTAAAATAACTGTCCATGTTCCTATTTCTGAATAACAACCATTTGCATAAATTCCAGAGGAAAATGTTTATTTTTGCCTATAATACCTGTAATCGTTGCTTTTTACAGTCCGTTTTAGTGATTCTGTATATCCTTTTTTATTCTTTATGTTGTTTGCATCGTTGTTCTATTCTGGCTCCTTTAGAATCTGTGATGGTATATTGGATATAACAAATAGTTTCTGTTTTGAGGAATCAGGGTTTTGTTTTTTAATTGATGATATTTTTTCTTTTGAGTTATATGGAAGGATGTTATTTTAGCAAGGAATAAACACTGATTTTTCAACAGACTTCCATGATGCTTTTGATTTTATATTTCAGAAGAGCGTAACATACTAAGATAAGGCAGTATTTGGAAATTTCAGGAAAACCGGGAAGTAGAACTTTATGATAATCTTAGACACGAATCCAGACATACATAGAAAATGATGATACTTGAGTTTTCTAAATACGCAAAGGTAGATTTCTGTTTTTCTGTCTTGTAAGATTCTTTAATGAAAATTTTAATATACTTTGGGTTCTCTTATATACTATGTGTCCAAGATGTTTTGGGAATATATATTTTTTTTAAATTTCAAGATTGTTTTTGTATAAAAAGGCAAGCTTAGGTCAAAAGAAGGCCTAACTATTCCAAGTTTAAGGCCTGCTTTGGCTTCCTAGAGAATACAAGGCCAGCCTGGACTATGTATCAAAACCTTGTGGGGAGGTGGGAGAAGAAGAAGATGTAACTAATGTGGTAACATTGACCTTTCATTCCTATCTAGTTATCTAGTTAGGTTCAGGCTTTTAAAAAAATCCTGGGGGACTCATGTGAGTGCTACAAAATTGTGTAGCAAATTTTTTATAGGAAGAGAATCCACTGTTTTTTGTGAATTTTTAAAAACCATTTACCTAGCCTCATGTCTTCAATGATAATAAAATTGAGAACAATTGATTTAGATCATTCCAAAACAGTTTTCTACAGCAGTCAGCTGCTTGGAGGCTTACTTCTTTGGGCCTATTTGCCCTTTAGCAAGTCCTGCAGTTTTAGCCTACATCTGTTGACCTGATCTTGGGGAAGTACTTCTGCATCCCCTTAAGTCCCTTCTGGGCATTCCCTGGGGTCAGCCCGGAATCCTTCCTTGGGTATGGTCTATTGGAAACTGTTGCTTGTCCTTGCTGCCTCCTAGAGTTAAAGGGTGGAGTGGGAAGTATGGGGACCAATAATTGGAAGGCAAACTTAGAGGTCCTAGGCCTCTCTCGCTTTCAGCCATTTGCCTGTGCAGATGGGTTAAAGGGGTGGCTTTGGCAAAAGCTTGTGACATTTTCTTGCTTTTAATACTTCCTATTCACTATGTTATTGTTTTATTCAATATGTTAGGAGGAAAATGTTTTCTTGTATCA